TGTGACAACCGCAGTAAGAGAGTTTTATCTAATGCGGTAATTCCTTGTGCGCATCAGGCTCTGATCTACCTCACTCAAAAACCGTTTTAGATTATACCGTGACTTATTTATCCATCATCTTATCGTGTCGTCCTATCGGTATTAGGGGGCCCTCAGGGATGGGGTGTCATCCTTTTTTTATCCATCGTTCTGTCGAGTTGGTTTGTGGGGCGCCTCGGGCGGGCAATTCAATCTTTTTTGAATTTTTGTTTAATTCTTAATTTAAAAAATAGAATGTTCAATTTCTCGTCGACACGATTGTGGTGCACCATCTTGCAACCCAAACTGCGCCAATGCACTTATGAGTTATGGCCATCACATGATTGTGCTTTGTCCTCGAAAATTGATTCACTCCCTCTGACCATCCTTGGGCACATGTCGCGGTGAAAATAATGAGTATTACTTGCGAAAAATAATGAGTATTACTTGCGATGTTGATCTTGTATGTAGTACGGAGTATTACTCTATGTAACCTTATTCTGACAAAGAATCAGGGTTTAGGCGGACAACTCCGCCATGGAGATGAAGACTGCGACGATCCATATTTGTCAAAGAAGAAGAAGAGGAGGAGGAGGACTGCATCGTCCTAGATTCGCATTCTGTCTCTAGGATTTCATCGCTAGAGTTTTATTTGTCCGCTATCGTCTTTTAGTGAGGAGCGTGCCGTCTTCCGACAATTCGTTCGTGGATAGGGAGATTCGGCTGGAGGCGACTCAAGGACCGATCAAGGCGATGAAGGAAGAAGATGAAGTGAAGACAATTTGACCCCCTCCTGCACCGCCACCGGTGGTTCTTGAAAGGCTGAGTGAAGAAATGTATTTTTTTTGCTTTTATTAATGTTAATGGTCTGAATTTGTCTGTGTTTGTTTGTTGTTTTATCTCTTTTGATTGTAAGATTGTGGATTTGGATTTGGATGTGGGTGATGGAATGAGTGCGGTAACCGTCTTTGGCTCATTTGTGCTCATTAATGAATCAGCGAGTTATATTGCTGAGGCGATAAACTCTGAGTCTGGTTTGAGTGACGGCGGTTGTCAAGAGTTGTTTTGTCGATCATCTACTATCTGAATGATGCGTTATTAATGTAAGCCCCTTTCATCCAAAAAAAATACTTGATCCGTACCGGATATTTTTACTTGAGTATTTTTCATTCTAAGATCAAACTAGATCAGACCATATAAAACCAGATCAAATCAAGTTGAACCAGATCAAAGCAGACTTGGACAATTATAATATACACAGAGACATCTATCAAACTAGACTAGATTAGATCAGTTCAGACGAGACCAGTTTAGACCAATTCAGTTCAATTAAAAACATCCTAATAGTCATAACTATTCCAAAATGTGGGCCCATTACAAATACCTACATCAATTATCCCCCGGGTTTACTAAAAAGGAAAAATTGAAAATAATAATCCAAACTATTGTCGATCCGCTATTAATAATCTCAACTATCGATTATTCATAGGTGGTCCCAACTATATGGACCATTTTCCAAAAATAGTCTCTAACCTCTTACAACCTGATATAGCAGGTCAAATTTAAATGTGAACTATGTGTAAGCTATAAATAATCTGAACTATAGTCAACCATCACTTATTCATCACAATTATCAACTCTAAATTTTTAAAATATATAAAAATATTTCTATAAATTGCCAAATTAAACATTTTTAAACATGTAAAAATATTTATGAAAATTCTACAAATGTAACGAAGTTGAATAAAAACAATTAGTCATTTTTTATTTATTTTCACTAAAATTTCATTATTTTCTTTTTTCAAATTTATTTTTCCTAGTTGTGTTAACAAGTATGATTTTGTATTATTTTCCTTTATTCAATTTTACTTTTTGTGTTTTCAAAAAGTATATTGTGATTTAAAAAAATTACGATTTAAATATTTATTCTAGATTTTTTTTCATGAAAATCTATTTTATTAAATTTTTTATGCTATCTTAATTGAAAAATCAAAACTCTCTTTTTTTCAATTTTAGTATTTTTATTTATTTTTATTTTCTTTATTTTATGTTATTATATTCTATAAATTATACGAAGTATGATATAGTTTATCATTGAATTCTAGTGATTTGGGACATATGATTTGGAGGTTTTGGCCATGTTAATGAAAATGTATTAATATTTTAATTTTAAGTGATACATTTTTATACATATTTCATATCTTCCATTATATCATTTAAAATTACAATATTAATACATTTTCATTAAAAATATCCAAAACCTCCCAAACCTATGCCTCAAATCACTAAAATTGAACGAAAATATATTTTCATGAAAAACACTAGAATAAAGCTTTCAATCATAAAACATTTAGTCACATCTTACTTTTTGAAAACAGAAAATTTAAAATTGAATAAAAGAAAAATAATACCAAATCATAATTTTTTGACACAACTGGGAATAATAAATTGGATAAAGGAAAAAAAATATTGAAAATAAATAAAAAATGACTAAACCTATTTTATTTAACTTTAGTACATGTGTAGAAGTTTCAAAATATTTTTTACATATTTAAAAATATTTACTTTGGGAATTTATAAAAATATTTTTATACTTTTCTTAAATTGAGAGTTGATAATTGGGATTAATAAAAGAAGATCAACTATAGCTGGGATATTTATAGCTTATGCATAGTTCACATTTAATTTTGACCTGTTATATTAGTTGGGACCACCCAGGAATAATCGATAGTTGGGATTATTAAATATTAATAGCGGACCGGTAATAGTTGAGATTATTGTTTTCAAATTTTTCTACTAAAAATGTGGGTTTAGAGGGAATGCACATCGTACTAGAACGTTATTAGCATTTGCAAGACAAATGTATAATGATATAGAATAATGAGAAAAATAATACTATACGCTTTCTAATAGATGAGAATGAGATATGTATTTCATTTGAACAAAAAAGAGACTAAATTTAACGTTAGACTAATGCAACATTGCAGAAGTGGACGTCGTTGCCTTCTTCCACTAGTTGTCGCCATCTACAGGTCGTCAACTTCTTCCATCCTAAAAGGTCAACCTGATAAGAGGAATAACATTTGTCTTAATATAGCACTTAATTCCTTCACACGTTTCCGGTGTGGAAATTCAACACATTCATCTTAACGTCGTCGTCACTTCGAGCATGCAGCCGCAACCATTCCAAGCGGACACCACAAGTGCACCACCCTTTTACATTCTTCTTTATCTTCTTCTTTGAAAGATATCCAAGTCTGTGAGGCTACAATGGGTGGCAACCTAAGTGTTGGGGCTGGGGTGTGGGGGTGGGGCAAGAAGAGTGGTGAGTGAAGATTATTGTGTAACTTAAATGGAGCAATTCATTTAAATGAGACAACCAATTAATTTAAATGATTGATTCATTTGAACCACACAAAGGGTGTGATACAAATGGTATACCCCAAAATAAGGTACACCAAGCAAGGGTCTACTCTTTTTGCAATTGGTCATCCTTGGGGAGAGAAAAGGTATATGTTCCTATTATGGAACTTAAGTAATGTGTTACCCCCTATTTACACAACTGTTTACCCAACTGATCAAAAAAATTAGTGAGCATGTTATTACATGTAGAAGTAAATAATTGGTTCTAGGTAGATGTTAACAATAGTCCCACATTTTCGTTATTCATGAATAATCCAACCTTTGTACCTCATTTTCATTCACTGGTCCCTGACCGGTTGATGACCTGCATTTTCAAGTTATTTTCTTATCTTTGCAAACCATTATACCATAAATCTCACCTTTCACAAAGATCATATTTTGCAAAGATAAAAAATAACTTGAAATAGCAGGTCCTTAACCGGTCAGGGACCAGTGAATGAAGATGAGGTGCAAAGGTTGGATTATTCTTGAATAACGAAAAGGTGGGACTATTGTAAGAAGACAGCTAAACGGTTGGATTATCAGTTTCCATTTTCCCTTAACTATTTCAATATATATATTCCTTTATAATAATTTAATATATTTATTTAACACATATACTTGATATGTTAGGTTGTTAACCATGTCACCCTAAGTTCAATATTAATGAGCATATTACATAAATGTCATGTCAAGTACATCGGATTTAATGCACCATACTCTCTCATAATATTTGTATTATGAGTATCAGTCACTTATGATTTAAAAAATGCGTCAAACTCACAATGTTATGATTAATCATGTGCAACTCCCAATCCCCAAGAGCAAATTTAATAATCTGGAAATCATTTAATTTGTCATAATACTATGATTGAGTATGCAAATAAATTTATCAAAATCTTTAAATTATACAAAAAATCAACTCATTAATTTTATAATTAAATCTGTTCCACGGAGAAGTTTTGGTGATTAGTAATCATAGCAGAGAGGAGGTTGAAGAATTTTAAAATACAACAGGATGCGAATAATTTATATATATCACGAAATGATCTGATACATTAAATCCCAAATATATCAATCAAAATTGAAGTCCAAACATGATTTATTTTTTATAATTTTTCTTGAAATGTAGCAAAAAACCCGTCACAGCATAAAATCACATAGATTTTTCAACAATGCTTGATGTACTCACTCTTATATCCACCTTATACCCACCATGTTTGTGAAGTGCTTTTTTTGTTTGTGAACCCAGCTCACAGACAATATTTTGTTTGTGCAAAATATTATCTTTGAACCAGGGTTCACGGACAAAAAAAACACTTCACAAGCATATAATGGATACAAAAGTGAGCATAAGAGTGAATACAAATATCATTTTATTTTTATGTAGGGGAATAAATATTTTGTTACAGAAATGAAAAATACAAGTAATAAAGGGGGGAAATTGACAACCTAGAACAGTACATAGATGCCACGTATATGTGACAATATCCAAACCAAAGGGATGTAATAATATGTGGCAGCACTCTAGTGGTCACGCCAAATGACACCCTTGTGATTTGATCAACTGCTGTCCACTAAAAAGATATCCCAAAGAAAGCCTTTCAAAATCTTGAATCTATACCTTCTTGTTTGAAGCAATTTGTCAGAGAAACAAACAACCATGGCGAGCTGTAGCATGGCTTTAGCTGCATCAGGGGGGTTGGTGACACCTAACGCCGGTACCTCCGCCGCCGCCCAGAAGACTTGCATGTTGACGTTCGCTTCCAGGAACGCCGCCGCCACCCTCCACAGGCGACTTGTTGTAAGAGCCTCCGAAGAGGCAGCACCATCGGCTGCAGCCACAGTAACGGCTGCCGAAGCTCCAGCTGCTAAGCCTGCCAAGAAACCTCCGATTGGACCCAAGAGAGGAGCTAAGGTAAAAGCACTACTCTAGTGTACAACATGGATTTACTTGTGTCCCACAAAACTTTATCGAATTATATAGAACAATTCTATATAGGTTTCATAAATCAAATAGTTTTTTTTTATTACAAATTATCATTGATCAAGCTTCATCAATCGACCAAGAAAAGGAAATATGACCAAAATTACATGGTTTTCTGGGAAGGAGGGTGTAGTGCTTATTCCATTCCATCGAATCTCATTCAGCTCAATATGTATGAATGAATATTGATCATTTTCTGTGGAATCATTTTCCACTAGAGTTGAATTTCTCTCTTGAAAAACACTTTCCTCCTTCAAGAAGATAATGGTTCACCTTTCTTTGGTAAAATAAAATACCACATAATGTTATGCCTTTCGTCCCAATAACTTCCCATGGAAAGTAATTACTTTCCTTAAAAACAATCACCTCTGTGGGTCGAGCTATACCCCATATTATCTGAAACGCTTTCAGCTAATGATCCGATTGGTTGTAGACTTGTGGTTAATCCAGACTTTTCCTGGTTAAATTCTAGGTTTCTCTCATGTAGTAGGTTATTTGAAGGCATGAACTTGTTCATTCCAGAACTTTGATTCATCTCAAAGAAATGTGGCCTAGTGAGTCGTGAGAAAGGTATAACTATAGGAATTCCATCAAATGTTTAATTGATACAACTGTGACACCAATCTCTCAGATATAGCAATTCCAGCAAATGATGACATTATTACTTCAATTCGATTCATTCTTAAGAACTACGGAGTAGTACTTTAAATTTGTGAGCTCCATGTTAGCAATCTATGATTTTCAATTGGGTTAACCAGTGAACCTAATAATTGTCACAATATAGTTGTTTTGTACATTGCACATGAACTCAACTAGTTTCACCTAGTTTGAAGTCCATTAGGTTTACTTAAACTCAACCGACCCAAACCGAGCCTCATGAGAAAGAGTATGCATGACTTGGTATACCTCAATCTTATAATTGGCAGGTGAGAATACTAAGGAAGGAATCTTACTGGTACAAGGGCATTGGATCAGTTGTTGCAGTAGATCAGGTAGGGCCTCATTTTCTTACTATTCCGATCTCTATTTGTAGGGATGCTATTACCTTAATACTCCGTAGGTATTATAGGAGGAAGAAAAAGAGAACATAGAACAAATTTGGTTCCCTGAAAGGTTCTGCTCATTTTATAGGCACATTTGTGTGCTCTAAGTTTGTTTTGAAAGAAGAGAATAATGTTGACCACAAGGTCATATATATAAGAAAAAGAGAGATAAATATGTTTAGAAGATTGAGAAACAAGGTTAAGGTAACTTAGGGACAGAATTAAAAAACAGAGATGTAAATTACCTCTTGTTGTGTGCAGGATCCTAAAACTCGGTACCCGGTGGTCGTGCGGTTTAACAAGGTGAATTATGCGAATGTATCAACGAACAACTATGCATTGGATGAAATCGAAGAAGTCGTATGAGCACTCTTGATTTGTTGTAGTACTTTGCCTTCGTGTAATTATTATTATTATTACGGAATATATATACTCTCACGTTTAATTCTTAGTTCTACTCTAAATGGTGTATCTTACTTTTCAGGGATGGCTTCCCTCTCTTTTTCCCATATACTATACTCACTCCCTTTGACCTATCTGCTCAACATTCTGGTTTAGACTTAATTAGAATGGGCCAACAATCAACTTCATTTATAAATAAATTACAAATGGGGAAGATGAAATAGTAACTGCCAGTTTGACTATCATGTGTTAGATATTATCATATTACTCCGTATTTCCTTTAGATTACACAAAAGTACATATTGAATGCCTTTCTGGATGTCTGTAATTCATCATTTCAGCCTCATATTATCAAATTCAGCCAAATTTACCTGCATGATTACAACTAAGTTAAAATGAGGCACCTGATACAATTCAATGGCAATTTCATAATTCATATGCTAAATGAGATATTCAATGCACAGCGTCTTTTGTGGTTCAAAATTTCAATCTCTTCTGAGCTGCTGGTAACGGCAGTATCAAGGACAACAATGTGTTAGAATACGGTACCAATACTCATACTATCACTAATATGATATGGTAGATTTGATTGTTAACGAAACACTTAAAGCTCAAAAGCAGTGTAGAAATTGTATAAATATAAGGGAAGAATACGTAAGTTTATGAGTGGGTAAGTTTATTGACGAGTGTGTGACTAAGGAAGAGATCAAACCTGGAACACACATGTTTCGGTCAGCCCTTAACTGTCTTAGAGAAGAGGGCAAAGCTGGAACGAAACATAAGCTTTAAAAGACACGATGATGCACATTTATTATACATGGCATGTGCCATCATTTAAGCCTTTAAGGGAAAAAAAGATATGAGTTGTATATTAGGAAACATAGAAAGTTTTAATCATATGTGGAGTAAATTCTTCTAAAAATAATCATCCAGGTTGATAGGAATGAGTACATATTTTAGGAGTGAACGAGTCATTTTGAGAGAGAGATGGTTCTCATGTGTCATGATTTAGTCCTATTTTAGATAATCTCTCTAACCACAGCAGCATGAATGCCCTCTCTATAGATATACTCCGTAGCATTTAACAAATAAATAACAAAATGGGATTGTAGGTAAACACGAGAAGAGAATAAATTCTATAAACACTATGTGATGTTTGACCTATCCACACTCATAATGCATAAAAAAATACTGTTCAAAGAACTCTTCCATCCATGCCATCGAGCAAACCAGACCACATCCCCTTTACAGGTGGAAGCTGAAGTACAAAAGAATTCCAAGGAGGGTATCCGACACCACTACCACGAACACGACCATCCATGCGTAGCAAAAGATACCTATGCACACCCAAATTGTAATGCCGCAACTTCAACATTTTTCCAGAACTATTAAGGACCACAAATATGCTACCCAAACGAATTCAAACAATGATATTATAAGAGCAAATTTTCTGATTCAAAGTATGCTACAAAAACATATAGAGCTCTTTGAATTCATATTATGGCAACATCCTAAAGAAAAAGAAAAAAACAATGCACCATTTATGAGTATCATTATTTGTTTTTCAATTTAAAAAAGTAAATGTCATTGCAGATGAATAGGAAAATCAGCCTAGAAATACAGATCACTCACACAGGAGATTCAGGGGAGATATTAGCCAGGTTTTTTTGTTCATTAATCCATCTGCAATAAAAAATAAGGAGTGAGATTATTATTTTTGTATTGCTGGCACTACTTCCTTTATCTCAGAAGTAACTTACTTGGTCCAGTTAGTTACATAAACAGGAGAAAGCTGCCATAGCCTTTTTCTCCGGGCATTCTTTTCCTTCATCTGTTCATTCTCATCAAACTCAAAATTCGGCATGTTTGCATCACTAGCAAATGGAACAACAAGCACCCCTCTTTCTACAAGGGAGTCAGTAAATGGTTCACTGAGTTTAAAACACTCAGAGATGAAAGATGAAGGACCAGCAAGAATGACCAGACGAGCAATTCCTCTAAAATCACTAACAGGAAGGATTTTAGTCTCATTCACACGAAGTTTTAGATTTGAGAGGCTTTCTTCTCTTGAGAGCTTAAGTAGTTGGGCATTTTTAGATCTATTCTCCCGGTAATACAGAAAAGCAAATAGGGATGCTGCTCCAATATCTATGGCAAGACCTTGCAAGATCTCGGGAAGTTCTGCAGCCCTTGACGAACTTGCCAGTGCTGCTATGAGCCGTGTTGTGGCTATAAATCCTCCAAGAGCCCCGCTTGCCGCAAAAGCCAGATAGAAGAACATACGAACTGACCGAAATGGCGAAAGGACTTCACTTCTTATCTTGGCAGTAGAACTAAATTAAAAATTAAATCATCATGGGCACATTGATGTTTCATACCGTATTAGAATATAGGCTTACATCCATTTTAGTTCCATTTAGGAAAAAACTAATGTCAGTTGCATCAATGTCAAAAAAAACTTTTAAATTCGTCATTTTAAAAGAATTGGATGCTAATATAGGAGCTAAAACGCGGTAAAACTAATCATTCACATTTTGAAATAAGAATTAACAAAAAATTGTTCAGCAGATAATACAAGTATACAATTTCTATTTCTTACTTGTCAAATGAGAATAAGAACCTGGTGAAAAATAAATAGGCCGAAATACAGATAGAAACTGTATTAGCTCTCACCAGATCAAGCACTCTTCATATAATTAAAAAACAAATACTCCGTATAACATATGGACACATTTATTCAGTGCTAAGGTTTTACGTGCTTGAGGCCTGCTAATAAAATGGTTAAGTGATCGGCAAGGAAACAACGCTAACTAGCCTAAATAAGCTCAAAATATGAAAATTTGCCGAAGATACTCAATATTAGTTGAGAGCGAGAGAACCTAATTTCGGATGATTGAGCAGATTTATTGGAGGCGAAACAGGTTACATAGGAATTCCTTCGCACCACACGGCGTCGTAGGGTTATGCCAGTGACGGTTGTACCGCCGGTGCTCAACTTACAGCTACTGAATTGGCGGTAAAGAAGAAGATATTTCCCGTCGGAACGAAATTGAGGGAGACTGAACGTGACAATATAGTGACTGTGCGCGACTGGGGCGGCCATATCCGGATAAAAGCTTACCAAATGCTGTTTCGACTGAAGTGAGTTCAAAATTTGGGTAGTGTAGGGGTGAAAAAAATTTAGTTAGTGTAGTGGGGCGAAATTTTTTCCCCTAGCGTAGCGGGGCGAATTTTTTCCGCTACTGTAGGGCTATGCGGCTAATTTTATTAAAAAAATGACATTAATACATACACATTCCAACGACATTTAAATCTATTAAGTTGTACATTCTAAGTTTAAATTAGACGATGACAAAGACATCAACCAATACATTTTTAATAACTTCTACATTGTTTAACCTCATGAATCGGTTATTATTAAATTGTAATTTTTGTCCGGCCCCCAAGGAGGGTGTTCGTGAGTCATGACTCATGAGAAGTTTTCTTAATATTACAATAGTATTATGTATGATATTATTATTTTTAGAATAGTATGCACCACATACACACACATATATTGTGCATATTATATTTTAATATTTGTATTAATGCTATAATAATTTAAAGTTTATTATCTATGCAATAAATTATTTTTAGAAAGCAAGAAGTAAATGAATTATGTAATTTAATGTCAATAAACATTTATATTTTGGATTCATTTCACGTGATCTAAAAAATGTGTAATTAGTGTGTCTGATATTTAATATTGTTTGATATATATTTTACAAAATCAAGTACTTTTTATCTAATAAAAATAATTAAACATTACAAAACTAGGAATTCTTATATAATAAGTATCCTAAATCTTAAACAACGAGTTATTCTATTGTTTATTTGTTTAAGTTATGTAATTATTTTAGATGTTCCTTCTTTTAAATTTTCAATTAAGTATTACATTATGTAACACTATATATTACTTTTGAAAATTAAAAGCTAAGGGGGGCGAATCTAATTAAATTATGAAAGTTTTATGAAAATTTTGAAAGTCCAAGGGGGCGGTCGCCCCCCGCGCCCCCCTAAATCTATCCCTGGGTACATCCATCGATTCGGCTGATACGGCCATATGGGTGATCAGTATGCTACCACGAAATGCACGAGACAAGAGACATCATTTTTATTTTGTTATTTTTAATTCTAAACAAGCCTTTCAATTGAATAATCATATCATTTGCTACCCAACCATCTAAGAGGCCATTTAGTAAGTTGTTTTGCGGCTTATCAGGTTAATCAGTCAATTTTTTCACCAAATACGTAACTTTTATTTTTACGTACTGAATTGTGTAATAATAAGAAAAGGTAAGGTTAAAGTTACTTTTCTGGTTGTATTGGCTGAAGTTACTCTAGATGACTATTTTAGCTAGTTTTACATATAATTTTTTCATTGTTTTATTAATAAAATACTACGTATATTTAAAAAAAAAAAATCTTAAATCAGCAGACTCGGCCAATACAGCCACTCTAGTCAATACTTCATAAATTTCAGCAGAATAAGCGGAATTTCATATTACCAAACGCTCTCTAATCAAGATGTATACAAAGTCAATTTTGTTGTACGTAAATTGTACAGCTTGTGTACACGAACAATTGGGAGACATTGCTCAATTTTTAAACGAATTGTCTTTATATAACAATTTTGTATATAAATGTACTTTCCCAAAATAGAATAGTAACTCTTATTATGACTTGAACTAAAAACGCTTGCTCTTATAAGAGGATGAGCAACATGATTTGTAAACCGCTTACAAAAAAGAGACGGTAAAACTATCTTTTATTTCAAGGAGGTTTCTAACATCGTTTATTATGAGATCAATATAAGACATGCACATGCCTTATATTATCATTTGTTTAGATTTCAATATAATTCTGCCCCACTCTAGACGTTCAATAATCACTTCCCTAGCTCTAATAACATTTGTTTCTGCTGGAGACCACTCTGCTTCCTTAGATTCGCTATGTGCCCAAAGAAATTCTCAGAGCAATTCAACCGACATGACACTCATACACATGTTCATTGACAGCAACGTTCACATTAACTTTCATCCATTCTGTTAAGACATGGGATTCAATCCTAAAAGGTCAACCTGTTAGGAGGAGTAGCTCATGTCTTAATATAGCACTTTGTTCATCCAAATTTTTCCGGTGTGAGATATTTAACACCCCTCCTCACGACCAGACACTTCGTCTGGATCGTGCCATCATTCAATCATTTTTTCATCGGTCCGTTTTTTTTCATCCGGCCGTAACTATCATTTTTTTTATATATATAATCGTGTCATCACGATTCATAAGGGGTCCCACGCCATGGATCGATTTGGCTCTGATACCATGTTAAGACCCGGGGTTCCATCCTAAAAGGTCAATCTGTTAGGAGGAGTAGCTCATGTCTTAATATAGCACTTTGTTCATCCAAATTTTTCCGGTGCGGGATATTTAACACTTCACTCAAAGGGCGTTTCCATTTAGTTGTAGACCCTCTTTTCCTCTATTGTGTCACACTGTCACCCCCTTGAAGCATGAGCCTCCCTCCAACCGCGTGACATGCTTTCTACACATTTCAAAATTATTGTACCTCCTTGAAGCTCTTCATTCAAAACTATTGTCACCCTTGCATTATGATGATGCTTCCATAAACTCTAAAGAATCATTAAAAATATGTATTAGCGCTCTACGTCAACTCCTTTCAAGTGGGCTATAACCCTACTCTCGGCTCTCCATGCCTTCCGAATTACTGTAGAAGATCCCCCCCACACACACACACATTGACCGCTAGACCGCCTGTGCTTCAGAATATAAATGGAGTGCATGGTATGCAGTTTCTTCTTGCCTCCCGCACATCTTGCATTCAAGGTGGATCAATGCCCATCATCTGTGTAAATTAATTGTTGTGTGAAGACAACCAACCACAATTTGTAAGAGGAATTTTTCAATTTGGGTGAAATTTTCAGGCCAGACATATGGGTCCAACTCCCATAAATAAGTGGACCCAGCCAAAGTTTTATCGCAACTACTAATGGATAACTTCTCTTTTTTTCTTCATTCCACAAAAAACCATCCTTCTGTTGTTGAAGACTAATAGGAATACTCAAAATGTGTGATTGTGGGTGCTCTTCTGGGGTAAAACGTGATACCAATGTGCCTCAAAGTTTTTTGCAACTAGATTTTCAAGGACATATTCATTGAGTTTTTTGAGTTACTATACATACAAATATAAACATCGATATGCAAACGTGAAACGTCCATTAATACTGCTTCATAACTTTTGTTAAAGTAAGAGTTATATTTCAAAATTTCACGTGATAGAGCATCCATAATATGAGTGCCCAAATTGTTAGAGTACAACTGCTTCATAACTTTTGACTATTTAAAAATGTTTGTTTTTAATTGGACTAGTTTCAATCCAGACTAATACACAAACATGTCAACTAGGAATCTAATATTAGTATAAATGGTTTATTACCATATCCCCTCATTGTAGAGAAACATTTGTTTGCAGAGTATCATTTTTCTTTCTGAAAAGTTACAAAAGTGCAATATATAAGTGATGACCTCTAGTTTGTTCTGGCAACTACAAAATGGTTCAAGTTGCTTGTCCATGGAGCCTAAATGAGTTCAAGTAAAATCACATTAACCTGTGAAAATAGTTATTTGACTTGTCTATGTGCTTCTAAAAACAGAATGTACGCCCATGATGCTTCTCTTAAAACACTAACTCACCATTAACCACTTCTTAAACTTATACTACCTCCGTCCCAGTGGACTTTGCCAAGTTCAAAACAGCAAAATAAGTGAGAAATAAGAATAATAAAAATTGCGTGGTTGATACTTGTCTAGAGGAGAGAGAAATATGCAGAACCACAAATTAGTTGCTTTAATAGGAAAGTGAAAGTTTTTTGGGACAACCAAAAAAGGGAAGTTGGCAAAGTTCAATGGGATAGAGGGAGTACATCCAAGAGATATACACCCTAATTAGCCATTAATCTTCTCCCTAAATCAGTGTGGAGCTCCATTTTTTATTTGGATAGCGGAGAGAAGTGAGTCATAGTTAGTCATGGACCCGGGCCGGGCCGGTTCCGGTTCCAGGCTGGGCCCGGCCGGGCTTTTTTTTGGGAAGGAAGGCCCGGGACCAGCCCGGGTAGCCACCGGGTCCGGTCCGGGCCCCCGGTTCGGTCATATTTTTTTTTTTTTGCTTTCCTAACCTTCCCACCCCCCCAAACCCCTCCTAACCATCAAGCCCAACCCGGCTAACCCCAAAAAATGAAAAAAAAAAAATCAATTCGGCCCGGGCCGGTTCGCCAAATACAAGGCCCGAGCCCGGACCCGCCCCCCCACCGGGCCTAGGCCCGACCCGGACCCGAGAACCGGGCCGGTTCCGGGCCCGCACAGTGGCGGGCCGGGCCGGTCCCGGGCCGGGCGGCCCGAACCGGGTCCATGCCTAGTCATAGTAGTTAGCAGAGACGCAAAAAAACAAAAATTTATGAAAAGAATAAATAAATCCCCTTTTGGATTCACGAGACAAACAATATATTTATTCATTGTAAAAACAATAAAAGGAGGCTTAATTATGAAAAACAATGGGCAGAGATACAGAATAATAACGCAATCAGGTCCAATAAGCAAATTAATCAGCATACATGCAAGGATTGTTTGAATAGGATTAGCTATGGACGGATTAGTTCTCAACTTTTCTGGAACTAGAAGCTTCAGAGAGCAATGGTTCAAGTTCTCCTTTCCGGTGCAGCTTCACAGTTTCTGTAACCACAAAACAAAACAAAACAAAAAAGAATGAAGATCAGCATACCTTCATTCAAGTTTGTATTCAAGGTTTAACAATTCTATTCACCACTCAATGAATTGTTTCGATGTGCATTAAGACGTGAGATTTCATAATTAAAAATTGAGTTTATTAAAAGGATGAGCTGAATGTTTTTTAGCATGATGAGCTCAATGTTTTATACTATGTATGTTATACGATAATATTTATTAAAAGTGGTTTCATTCTATAGGATTGTAGTAATGAAAGCAGGGTGGAATTGGAAATGTGTAAGAATTGTTATTGATTATTTTTTTAATGCATAAAACTGAATTTCAGCACCTTATTTATAACTTAGATAGATTACTCAAGACCTCTAGGAACCTCTAGGAATATCTTAAGACTGTAATTAATACAAGAAGTGTAGGAGACTCATCCCTTTGTATTCTCTATTATTGGACAGGCTTAGTACAGATTCTTTAGAACAATCTGAAATAATCAGGCTGCTTCTATGAAAAAGTCTCATACTTCAACCGGGCTGCAAAGAATGTTCTAGCAGAAATGGAGACCATATCTGTTAGGCAGGCAGTTTGAAATTCATACAGATCAGAAGAGTTTGAGGTTCCTCACTGAGGAGAGACTGCTGGGAGAAGAACAGCAGAAGTGGACTTCAAAATTGTTGGGATACTATTTCATCATTAAATACAAACCGGGCACAGAAAATAAAGCCGCTGACGCTTTATCTAGGATCTCAAGGCTGCAGGCCCTATCCATTGTGACTTGCCACGAATGGAGTGGGCTGGAAGAGGAATTGAAGGAAGATCCTACTTGCCAGGAAATTATTCAAGGTGTGATTTCTCAACCGGATAACTATCCTGATTTTCAGCTAAGAAGGGGTTTGCTATATTACACAAGCAGGTTGGTGTTACCCAGAACTTCTCCCAGAGTTCTGAAAATAATGACTGAGTACCATGACTCTGCAACTGGAGGACACTCAGGCTACTTCAGAACTATGAAGAGAATTACTAATCTCTTCTATTGGCAAGGTATGAGGAGCGATATAAAGAAGTATGTTCAGGAGTGTGCTAGTTGTCAAGCCAATAAATATCAAACATTGAGGCCAGCTGGATTGTTACAGCCCCTACCTATCCCGCAGAATATTTGGTCAGACATTAGTATGGACTTTATTGGAGGCTTGCCAAAATCACAAGGGAAGGATACTATTATGGTCATTGTTGACAGGTTGACCAAATTAGCTCACTTCTTGGCTCTATCGCATCCTTTTCATGCCAAAGAAGTGGCTGAAGTATTCACTAAGGAGGTAGTTAAGCTTCATGGCTTTCCCAAGACAATTGTGAGTGATAGGGATAGCATCTTCCTGAGTCATTTCTGGAGTGAACTTTTCAAGTTGGCTGGTACACAACTGAAGTATAGCACCGCTTACCACCCTCAAACGGATGGGCAAACGGAGGTGGTAAACAGGTGTCTAGAGACATACTTGAGGTGTCTCACAGGAAGGAAGCCTAAACAGTGGGTTCAATGGTTGGCCTGGGCTGAGTATTGGTACAACACTAACTAACACCTTACAGAGCATTATATGGACTGGACCCACCCCCTATTATTAGAGGGGATGTCAGTCTAACTGCGGTGGAGGAAGTATCCAAGATGACTGCTCAAAGAAATGGCATGTTAGCTGAATTGAAGGAAAATCTAGAAAAGGCCCAAAATCAAATGAGGCAACATTAAGCATCGGAGAGAGGTAGTTCTAGAAGTGGGGGACCTGGTATATTTGAAGATTCAACCCTATAAACTAAGGAGTTTAGCCAAAAGAGTCAACCAGAAACTGAGCCCTAGATATTATGGGCCCTTTCCAATAATTGAGAAGATAAGTAATGTGGCCTTTAAGCTGAAACTACCTGAAGACAGCAAGGTGCATCCGGTGTTTCACATTTCATTATTGAAGAAGGCAATATCACCTACAACGGTTTTTCAACCATTGCCTAGATGTCTGGATGAAGAATGGGAGTTACAGGTGGTCCCGGAAGACATTTTGGAATTTGGACACTAGAATAAACAAAGAAGGAAAGGTGGAGGTTCTGGTACATTGGAAGGATTTGCCACAGTTTGAAGACTCATGGGAGTTGCTGCACGCACTGACAGATCATTTCCCCACCTTGGGGACAAGGTGTATTTTCAGGGGGGGAGTAATGATAGGCAGTGGGTAGAAAGGCCTAGTCACTACTTTAATAAAGTTTACAAAAGAAGGGATAAGAGGGCTGGGGTTAACGTATTACTTTTCCTTTTAGTCCCTGCGTGGACAGACTACTATAAATAGAGGGGAGGTAGTAAAAATAAAGCAGGCTGTTATTCAGATCAATGTAAACTGGAGATTGGGCATCTCGAATGGTCCTAGGACACTGTATCCATTTGTGATCTGTTCTATTGTCTGAATAAAAGTTCTCAATCGGTTCTAATCTACTTTTTGTTACTTTCTGCGAAGTGTGAGATCTGTGACTGCTAGGTACTATCGGTATAACTTAAGTATCTTGAACTTAATCATTACACTAAGACGCGTGATTACTTGACTAATTAATTTGTCATTTCAGAGTAACACACGGAGGCTTAACGCATTTTTAATCAAGAAGGGTTCATGTGCAGAATTTATATATCACAGGAAATTAGGCCCATTAAACCCGTATTAAGTATATGTAGCATAATTAAACCCTTTTGGTTCAAAGATGGGAGGAGAAAGAGGGGCCAGGAAGGAAGGGAAAAAAAACAATATGTAGCATAATTAAACCTCTAAAAGTTAACGAACAAAGAAAATGAAAAAAAAAAAAAAATCCCGAAATCATCCAGATTGGGAGAGTGGGAGTGAGATATGAGTGTAGGGTACTTTTAAAGCTCGTCAATCCAAACATGAAAATCTCTTTTAGTTCTCTTCAAAATTCTACAACCATAAAAGTGCTATAAGACTGTAAGACGTGTGGAGTTGTGGATTAGGTATATACTAGTGGATCAAATTTCATTAAAGTGTGCATAGAACTTTGTTTACAGGCTGCACTAAGAAAGTGTGGGATATTGAGCATATTCAAGATTTCAAGAAAGGACATTGCCACTAATACTACTCCCTCCATCCCTTCAAACTTTGTTAAGTTTGACCGGCACGAAGATTAATTAAGTAAAAACTGTGTGGTAGAGGTTTGTACAGAGAGAATTAATAGGAACCACAAATTCTTTACTTAAAAGGGAAAGTGGCAAAGTTAATGGGACAATCAAAAAAGGAATGTTGGCAAAGTTTTAAGAGACAGAGGGAGTAATATATACTCATAAAAGCTCATATATATTTGATGCTTAGCCATACATCTATGGAGTAATTTTTGGCTATGCTTTAAAAACTCACTCTTTAACCCGCACAGTCCCTCTAGACTCTACTTTAGTCAATAAACAAACTCAAATTTGTTAACTCCCAAACCCATGGCATTATTATGATTTATGAGAGCATTGATGCAGAAACTGAAAGAGCAATGCATGTTTTTTCTAGGGGAGTTAATGATAAAAATGAACGGCAGGTAACAGCGAAATTACCTGTACAACCTCCAATGTGATTCCCCCCTGGTCAAGAATAAGAACAAACATTGGTTAGGAAAATTACTAAACTTTTGCATAATATTTTTACCAACGACACTAAAAACAGTGTGGAGTTGGCTCGGCTTAAAATGGGCCAAAAATACATTTATTATGACGGTTACATCTGAATAGGCCCAATACCCCATGAATAGGTGCAAAACAGTAACCAGGCCCAACTCAGCCCAGGTAACCAGCACAACAAGCCAAAGAAAGAGCACCCCGTGGGAAGGATCTAGAAGATTATTAGCCGCATACGGGAGGCCGACAAAATACATGGGAACACTATCTACAGGTGCCGCAATCGTACATCGAGTCAGGCCACGTCCCCCAACGATCAAGGAGAATGTGCGCGCATATATCATGCATTAGCAAATGAAAGCACAATGCATGCTCCCCTAGTCAGGCTAACCAATGGTAAATACCAACATGGATGGCCTAAGGATCAGATCTTTGTATGAGAAGATAGCAATGGACTCATGGACTGTAAACAAAGGTACTCCTGACTTAAGTTCTTAGTGAAATCTGAGCATTAGACTCATTTCCATTTGATTAAATACAAGTGTTAGCGACCAGATTGTGTCAGTCACTAAATATATCAATTTTATATACAAGGACTGGAAATATATACGGAGTATCTTGTTCCCAACAGTTTAGGACCAACAGTAAGATTGCAAATTTATCACATTGCAACTTTAACTCCCTAAAAACTAATAATTCGAATATTAAAACTAAACTTATTTACTGTCCTTTCCTAATTTACCTTAATTTGAAGTCCAAACACAAGAGGCAATACTATGAAACAAATGTATGATCTCATGAAACTTCAAAGAACTATATTATATTTATACACTTCTTACCAATGAACACATTTGGGACAGTATGCTGCCCTGTAAGCCTTTCTAGAACCTTTTGCAATTGAGGCCCTTGAGCTCCTGAAAGGGGCAGATATGTAAAATAAACCAAGAATAGTACATTATTAACTTTCCTTACATCATGAATGGGGTAGTGGGGAGACATAATCTTCTTCTCGAGTAAAAAAACAATTACCACCTTTCTAAACTAAAATAACCTATCAATAAAACATGAATGGTGTGATCATGAACTTTCACACTGCTATACTCCATTCATAGCATCATCACATTTTAAACTTTTGGAGTCAAAGTTTATTATTTTTGACCATTGATTATTCAAGATTGTATGCAATACTCTTGAACAATTATGTTTTATATTTACATTTCAAATTATTTTAGATTTTAAAAGTGTGTAGTTTTAGAATATAATGGTCAAATAATGGCATTGACGCTGTAAAGGTCAAACTGCTAGCTTAATTTTGGGATGGAGAGAGTATAATAAGAGTCATCACAATGAAATTCATGGATTTCTTAAAGCTGCATTCCCAATTTCCTAGGAAAAAATATATTGAACAAACATGCCTTCTTGATTAATACACAATGCCTACAGATTGCTAATAGTACTGTAAAAAAACTGGAAATGGAAAGGCAGAGGTCAAAGCTTACCCATCTCATCCAATTCAATAACAAGAGGCTCCACGCCAAGCCTCTTAAACAAAGACTTCACCTCGGATGAATACCTTCACCGGAAAATGAAGAGCTCCAGAATCAGTTACCCGATTCAAATAAAATAGTGATATCTCAAAGAAATTTATACAAATGACAGTCAAAGGAACGAACTTTGTGACTTACGAGCACCAAGTTTTTGAGTACACAACGACGGGATTGTCAGCGACAGTCCTCTTGACAGTCTCCTCCAGCCGGGACCCGAAAGAACCCGAAACAGCTCGAATTTGGGTCGGGCCAGGTTTTCTTGGAAGGTAATTTGCGAATCTAGATGTGGTTGCGTAGAACCCGATGTTGGAGCTGCTAGTGGGAGAAGCTGAAAGGTTGTGAAAGTGAAGGATGGAACGAGTGCGAGGGGGAGAGGAATAAGAAACATAGCCTAAGCCTCTGCCCAAATTCATAGCAGCGGTAGTTGTAGAAGACGTGCCCGCCATTGTGATGCCGCTTCTGGTAAATTGGAAACGAAGTTGCTTCCTTCTTCGTTTCCTCGGCTTCTAAAATATGTTTTCCTTCTTTTCCGGAAAAAAAAATAGAATTATGCGGAGTAATTGGTTTTTCCGCGGGTCTCCTTCAACGAGAAGCATTTTGGGTCACTTCAGCACTATCGCCCATGTTTGAAAGAATAGAAGCAATTTTAAAAAACAGATCCAAACATTTTTTTTTGGACTTGTAAATGAACCTTTTCTTAGCATCGTTTCGGGTTGGAAATAATCCATCTTAGAAGCAATTTTAAGAAATAGATCCAAACACTCTTTTTTGGACTCATAAATGAACCTTTTCTTAGCAGCGTTTTGAGTTGGAAATAACCAATCTTAGAAGCAATTTTAAGAAACAGATCCAAACACTTTTTTTTGGACTCATTTATGATAAATGAACCTTTTCTTAGCAGAGTTTTGGGTTGGAAATAACCAATCTGAATGCTGGACTCATTTGGAGTATTGTTAAAGTTGTGTGATCAACACTTATTTTAGGGAAATCTTATTCACACCCAAGCAATTTCTATTCACGATCACTAAAACTAACTTAAAAAAAGTAATCCAAAAATCAATTTTACCCTTATACGGATATAATACAGTTTACGGCTAGTGAATTTGGTTTTGCGTAGCAATTTACACAACCGCATTGAAGAAAACCGTCAAAGGAAACACATCAGCCAACCTGAAAAGATAGAACTACCGATGTGTATTGCTGGAGAAGAGAATGGGAAGAATGATTGATGGGAGAGACCACTCGTCGGGGATAGTCTACTCGGCATTCTAGCTTCGGCCTTCCAATAGGCGCACAGTACACAAATGAGGCATCATCGCCGCAAGCATTTACTGGCGGCGTTTGTCGTTGTCGTCGCTGTAACCATGGAAGAAGGTCGAGAGGTCCGTTCTCTGGAAGCACTACTACTGTTGGATTCCTGTTGAGTCACCGGAGGAGTATCGTAGAAGAGCTCCATCATTTTTTCTTCATGATGAAGCGCAGATAGTAACATTTGTATTGTTGGGTGAGCTATTGCATTGCTGGGTGAGTTATCTTTAATCTGTCGTCATTATTCCCTTGGGTTGCAGCTCTATTTTATCTTTGTTTGGGTTGGAGAAGCTAAGATCCGATGTAGAAGATATGCTCAATAGACTGTCCCGAGTATGGTGCCCTTCATCTTCATGTAGCTTCCCAATGATAAAGATTGGATGTTCGGATGAAGAAGTGTGAAGTTATTTGTATGCCTATACATGAGTTCATTTAAGTGGGAGGGTAAAATAGATATTTTAAAGAAAAACATTTTTATTATGTGGATGTAATTAGTAATTATCTGGTTGTGAATAAAATTTCTCTTTTATTATTTCTCTGTCTTTTCTTTTTAGTAAGTTTTTTTTAAAAGCACCTTCATACCCTCAATTTTATAATTACACTCATATTTTACTTCTTGTGAACTAATTTCTCTTTACTAGTTATCATTAGTTATTGCCTCCACTCATTTAATTACCTTTTCTTAATATATTTTGGGAGAGAACATTAAAACTCCCCATCAAAATATGCATCCAAGATTAGCTTGCATTTATCGGTGTTTGAAGGCAAGAAGAAAAATTATGACTCCTCATTAGCATTTGCAAGTGGCGTTGTTTGTCGCCTAGGGTATAAAATAGACCCCCCCCCCCCCCCCCAAATGTGCTTTTAATCATTGTTTAGCACCAAGAGGAGTGAAAAAGAAACGACCCCCTCAAAATATGCGTTCAGCGTGTATTGGCTCTGAGGAGGAGAAAATGAAAACTCCCCTTGAAGCGTGTGTTTGATGAATTTCTGCTCAGTGGGGTATTATGCACGTCAGTACTCCCCTTCATAATGCGCACGGGTTGATTTCTCAGCAGCCCCTCTCCTTGTCATGTGTGTGGAGCAATCGGATTGGGTCTGCAAAAGTTTAAGCGAACTCAAATACTCATTTTAAGGTGGGTCTGTCCCTTTTGCATAAAACAAATTTGGAAATGTTTGATTTATTTTTGTTCCTAATTAAACGAGTCTCGTTTGAAGCTTTAGAAGAGCTATATGACTGAGATTCTAATTTAGGAGTCCATTTTTGAACAATGGTAGTTTCAGAGCATATGAATGTTGACATGGATTTTCGAGAAGTAAAAATTTTCTCCATATATAATAGTTTCAGATAGATGTTTGGTAAAATACGTCTTGAGAGGATATGACAAGAAAATATCATCACAAACAGTAGTAGAAGCTTTAAATCTCTTTTGTTCAGATATTCATCATTCACATCACAATGATGGTTAGAGAAAGATTCGAGTTTACCAAAATTAACATTATTCAGAGGACAATCATTCTTAAATTCAAACTTCTTAGATTAAATAAACTATTTGAATCTGAACAAGAAGGTTGTCTACATGAACTTGAGGTTGGCGTTCGTTTAACAATCTTTCTCATATTTTTCTCTTGACGTTTGCCAAGAGCATTGCCTTTCGACTTTTCAGAATGTGGTTAAGAGGATGGACTTGTGGGTTTACACACATGTTTAGAGGGAGGCCATGAAGATTTGCCTTTTAAAATAGCAGAGGAGGTAGAGGCTATGTTTGCACTGAGGGCATTTTTAGAAGAGATATGTCATGTAGAAGTTTTTCGTGTTTCCTCTCATTCTGTTTCCAGAGATGTGTGCTCATGCGCAATTGTACAGATGATCTCGGGAATGAAAACAACATCAGATTTAAGGTTTTTAGAAACAGATGATCCTTCCCATGTAGACACAGACTCACTCGGATGACGATAGATTGAATCACAATCAGTAAACAAGAGAATGAGTTTCATGTGTCTTATAACTAGTATTCGAATGTATAGTCAAAAGAGACTCCAACATTGGCTTTATCATTTTCTCCAGTTCCAGGGCACTGGTTTCTGACGCCCCGGTAAATCTAACAAGTTGGGTAAGTCCTAAACCCATGTGCGTGATATCATACCATTGGCGTGATCTCACTTTCTTAAGGTGACATGGGTTTAGAAATCCCAAACCTTATCTCAGGGTGTAGAATTCAATGACCTTGTGCTGATTTAAGCAAGTTGTTTGATCAGTTTAGCTTGTTTTGGTAAATAAATCCTCTAGTTGTTTAATTCTAGAGTGAATTTTACTTCATTCCCCAAAGATTCCATCATACAGCATAATAGTTTTTGCCTTTTCAAGTTGTGTAAACTCTAACTTCTTAGTCAAGTTACAGAGAATGACGCTGAGTTCGAGTATGCATCCATTTTGATTGTCGGATATGGATCATTGACATGTTGTTGATTGATTTTATTTGCAATTTTATGTACCATAGTGTGAATTGTTGACCTTTTTTAGCCTAAGAATTGACTTAAGTGTTGACCTTAGTTATTGACAATATATTTCGAAAATGGAGGAAAACTTATGATGTTTTCTTTTGGACTAAAATTTACTGGTCTGGTCTGATCTGGTCTGATCTGAACTGGTCTGGTAAACGTCTGATCACTGTGTATTTTATAACTACGTAAATCTGATGTGGTCTAATCTGGTCTGATCTAGTCTGGTTTGGAACTGAAAACAGAACTAAAGAAAACATCCTTAATCAAGCCTATTCAATTAGAACCCGCCATGGTTTCACAGTGATTTGTGTAGGGCTCGTTTTTTCGTTCCCGAAAAGCACTTGTGGGCGAAAATCGGATAACGGAGTAAAAAAATATGGTCAAAAGTTGAAACATATTTGGAGTATGTCCAAGTCTGAGTTTTGCGATAAATTTGAGTTTTGTGAAAACCAGGCTTTTGCGAAAATGATGTCTTGCGAAAATCTCAGTTTTGCAAAAAAAAATGTTTCTTTCAATTGGGTGAACAATATCAAGTAACAGTTTTGTTAGGTGTACACAAAAATGTGTACACATTTTGTGTACCTCAAGCATTTTTCATTAGATGACTTGGATTCCCTTTGTTGAGAGATACAACTCTTATGAAGGAAGAAAATCCAAATTATGAACAGATAAAAAGAAATGAATCTAGCTGGCTATAAGAATCAATAGTTTAACTAGAAGACTAATTAAGTTCTTACTTAATTTCCTGCTTAAGTATTACAGAAATTACCCTAAATAGGAGTAAAAACGTTTTGAAATTCCAAAATAGGAGTATCATGTTTTTTATTCCCTAAATAGGAGTAATCTGCCAAGTTTGGAAAAAAATGCCATGTTTAAAGCCTTGTAATTTCCAAACTTGGCAGAAATTTACTCCTATTTAGGGAATAAAAACATGATACTCCTATTTTGGAATTTCAAAACTTTTTTACTCCTATTTAGGGAATTCTCTCGTATTACTCCTTAACAAATTAATTTATCTCCATGTTATCACAATTTGAACTTTCAATAGTCAGTAGCGGGCCACGTCTTCTTCCCCAGTCCACCGGTCACTCTTGCCGGTGTTCACCATGCAATTCTTTCCACACAAACAAAAAAGAGAACAACTCACTCACCTTCATCACCTTTCCCTCATAATCTTACTTCGCTGCAAAAGGGAAACTGAAATTTTGAGAACTGAAAAACACTCATTCCCTGCAGCAAATAATTGAAACGAAAAATGGGCACAAGGGCACTGCCCTTAAATCCTGTGCAGAATGGCCTGCACCACCCCCACAACATTGGGTATGCAAAAATGTTGGCAAGCTTTAGTAGTGTTCATAGCATGAAAAGACCCAAGAAATCTTTGGTCATAGTTTCTGCAGGGAAGAAAGAGGAGAGGAGTGATGATGAAGAGCCAACTACAAAGAAGGAAACTAATAAATTGTTTAGTAATTTGATAGAAGCACTAGATTTTTCGCAGGTTAGATCAGAGAAAGATGGAGAGCTTCTTGAAGAGGCTAAGGAGGCTACTCAATCTGGTGGGAGGATGTCCAAAGAACAGGTAAGATCATGCTTAAATTGGTTGAGTTTAAGGAAACTCCTGAAATTACATTTATAATATATTTTATTAATAAATCAAAGAGAAATTTATATGGAATAAAAAAGGAAAATAGTTTTCTTGGACGAATTCAGCCAAAGTCTTAACTCTGGGTTTTATTTTTTGAGTATTTATAATTCAGAATACGAAATGAAAGTTTATTGATCAATAACAAGTTGCCTGCAAAGTGATGTTACTAAAGAGGCAGGTAGACTCAACTTTTCCCTAATATTTATGATCATTATATTTGAAAACTATCAATTTCTGTAAAGCCTGGTGAGGTAGATTTGGGGAGAACAATTTAATTAAGCAACTAGTGGCAAAGAGGACTTTTAATTACTACCTGACTTTGTTTGCAGTATGGAGCTCTAAGAAGGAAGATTGGAGGCACATACAAAGATTTCTTCAAGTCCTATGTTGATGGTAAACTACACATATATTTCCCAAGGAATACCTAGTGAAATATAAAAGGCTAAAGGGTCAAGTAGGCCCTTGAACTGACTTAAAGTGTTCAATTAGCCCCTTATATAGGAGGTTCTGCCCGGCCGTCGCCAATTGAGGTGGTTCCCGGTGGAATTTTTTGATGATTTTTTTTAGCATCTTCTTCATTAAGTTTAGTTTACTCATACCAAATTACAGCTAAAGATTAAACCGGGAAGGCAGTTAAATGATTTTTTTGAAGATAACTGCAAAGTTAAACAGCACAGTACATTTTGAAAATTCATTTGACTGTCTTCTCGGTTTAATTTTTAGCTGAAATTTGGTATGGGTAAACTAGACTTAATGAAGAAGATGCTAAAAAAAATTCATCAAAAAAATCCACCGGGAACCTCCCCAATCAGCGACGGTCGGGCAGAACTTCTTATATAAGGGGTTAATTGAACACTTTAAGTCAGTTCAAGGGCCTATTTGACCCTTTAGCCAATATAAAAATGTGCATCTGTTTTATCAGTTTTAACATGAATTTCATTCTGCTCTTGATACCAGTGGATGGGCAGTATGTGGAAGAAGGGTGGATTGACAAAACATGTAAAATATGCAAGAAGGATACTGAGGGAGAAGCAAGACAAGTGGACAAGTTGGGAAGATATGCCCATGTGTCTTGTGTCCAGAACAAAGCCAATTCAGGCAACTTCTTTACCAAACTGTTCTCTTGAACCACCATGATCAAGAACATGATGGGGTCAAAAAAGCAATGTTAGTACTTAGCACTGAGCATCTCATTTATGCATATATCTATTTAATTCATCAAATAATGAACAATATACTTTAAGTTCATTTGTTGACTACAACAACAACATCCAAGCCTTATTCCCAAAAGATTTTGGGGTCGGCCAACATGAATGTGTTATGACATTTGTTGACAATTTTTTTATTTGAATGAATGTGTGATAAGTTCCATATCTTGCAGATTAATGTACTTAAAGTGCAGGCATGGAAATAACATTAAATTCATTTTAACATATACGGAGTATGAAATATAACAAAGAATCCAAAAATGTAAATTTGTTTCCACACATCATTGAGAATCTCGTTATGCATTTTTATATCACTTAGGGGGTGTTTGGAACTGATTCTGCTTCTGCTTCTTTTTTAAAAGCAGAAGCAGAATCAGAATCAGTTTTCAGAAGCTGGTACCCCCCAGCTTCTAAAAAAACTGATTCTGAGAGTAAATTAGAGCTCCAGAAGTGCTTCTGGAATTTCACCCAAACACTCCAGCTTCTGCTTCTGCTCCCTGAAGGAGCAGAATCAGTTTTGAGAATCAGATCCAAACACCCCTTATATGTGTGAAGAGACACATAATTGAAGTACTCCACGAGTTCTTGTCCTTATACTTAACTTTCTTACACATGATAGAAGTAAAAAATAAGAGTTAACCTGTTTTCCGCAGCTATTTAAGCAGAAGTAATCAATCAAATCTTTCAGTACAGAAAGCCCGTTTATTGACAGATGTTACATGCTCACTTTCAGTGATTTGGAACCCTTATCTGAGCTCCGTGCAAAAGTATAGGATTGCTCCAGAAGGAAGTAGTAATGATTAAAACCGTTGATGATAGATAGTGTAGATGCAAAAGTAACAGCAGATACAAAAACTACCTGCTGGCTGCTGCCATGCTGGACTGCTGGTAAAGAATGCTCAACACGATTTCATCAACTTTCAGACGAACACTTCTACGGTATTACCAATCATCAATAGGTTTTTAACACACAGCTTTGTGCAGTTAACTCTCCATGCTTCTTGCACAAAAGAACTCTTGCAACTTCTGACTTTGTAATATCGAACGCGTTCTTCATGGTGCTGTAATAACATATAAAGAAAGAGATTGTCATTTACTAATCAAAGTAGTTAAGAATGCTGTGTGTGTGTGTGTTTAAGTATAACGAAAGCAAAACTTGAGTACAAAATCACGAATAGGTCGCGTTTTGGATCTCAGTTTTGAATAGTATCTCACCTTTTTCTCCCTGCTCTCAAACAAATGCTCTGTTTGTTTATTAAGAAACTTCCTAAAAATGTTTTTATCTGATACTTCCTGTGCTTCGGCTACGGGGAATTTGTTATTGAACCCTCCCAAATCGCTTGTCCCAATTTAAATGGGACACGAATAGGACCAAGGCTTTTTCAGTAATGTTTCAAACTGTTATTATTAACTAGGTCCAGGTCCTGGACAACCCAAATCTCATACCATGCTCACCCCAATCCTACACCAAGTTACTTTCTTGGAAACAAACACAACTTAAGTTATAAATAAATGTAGCATTGCCTCTATATAAATGCAAAGTACTTCTTTCACTGATTCAGTGTATTAAATGATGATACACTCAGGGTTGGTTTGCAACTACTTTTAAAAAAGCACTTCTCAGCTTTTGGCTTTAAAAAAGCACTTCTCAGCTTTTGGCTTTAAAAAAGCACTTATTTTTCCAAACACTACAAATTTTATTTTTCTCGGCTTCCGCGTCAAAAGTGCTTTTATTTTTTCTATTACACAAAAAACACTTATTTTACCAATCACTACCCACTTTTACTTTTCAAAATCACTTTTTTCTCAAACACTATCAACTTTTATTTAATCACTTCTCATTTCATTAAAAAAAGCACTTTTTTAAAAGCAGAAGCTATTGCAAACAGACTCTCAATCTTAACACCAATCTAAATAACAAGAAAGATAGACGGTAAAACATTTACGAGTATGAGGTGTTTGAAACTGATTCTGTTTCTGCTTTTTTTTTAAGCAGAAGTAGAATCAGAATAAGTTTTCAGAAGTTGGTCTCTCCCAGCTTCTAAAAAAACTGATTCTAAGAGTAAATTAGAGATCAGAATTACTTCTGCACTTTCACCCAAACACTCTAGCTTCTGCAGAAACAGTTTTAACAATTAGTCCTACAGAATATTGTGCAAGTGACAATGGGATTTCTACATTGAACGCTTCGCTTGCATGGAGTCAACTCCATGTGACAACGAGATTTCATTTGATAGGAAAAGAGGTCAATTCCAGATTTTGCATCTCAAAAAACAAGTGTCCCCAAGTTCTCGAGTTCCTATATCGTACACCCGGGTGTACAGATACATCCAGGTATTTTTGAAATTCTTTCTAATTTGTAATTGGAAAAGAAGGCTTCAACTAACGAGACTCATCACCGGCGAAGTAGCTAGACTGCGAAGCCAAAACTCGGAAGACGCCGCCCGACCGTCTTCAATTTACCAACTCTTGCAATTCCGATTTTAATTCACTCTTTTTCTCTGTTTGATATCTTCCTTTATGGCCTGCCGCCCTATTCTCCTCCATAAGGCAATTGTGCCTTATAGAAATCCAAGTTCCAACCTCCCAGTCTCAGCTATTAGTATTACTTACTCCGTATTAAGCATATAGCTTCACACATTGACTGTCTTCAATTATTTATGCAATTGGCCGTGAATTGGAACTTGGGGTGTAGGAACTTGGGGTCGGGAGTTCTACGGACTTCAGGAACACTGCTCAATGCTATTGTTAAGAATAGGTTGTCTTTAATCATTATATTTTTGAAATTCTTTTTAATTTGTAATTGGAAAAGAAGGTTTCAACATCTAGGATCCAAGGAGCAAGAAGCACAAATATGGCCGGACACGACCGATGTCACTGCAGCCGTTAGAGCTACAAGCACACCAGACTAGCCCACATACATGACCATGGGATTGGGACAAACCACGTTTCCTTTATCTTCTTCAGTTGGATAAAAATCACATGTCCCCCAGACTAATTTGCTTAGAAGTTGATTATAAATGTGTTTATATTAAACTCAAATGAGTATACGCCTACAAAGAATGAACGTCCACAAATGATTTTTTGAATTTCTAGATACTCATTATGTACGTTTTGATGCTCATTTGGTACTGCTGTTATGCTCATTTTAAAATGTTATATCAATGCATATTTCAACAGCACCATATTACATTAGATTCACATAGTAGTTGATTATAGACATGAAAATAAAAATCATGATACTCATCCGTACAATTCTAATACTCAATAGTGGAGGTTTGATGCTCACTGAAAATGTCTTGACGCTCAGCTAACAAAATTTAAAATGTTCATATTAATGCTCATTTTGTAATTTATGTATGCTCATTTCGTATTGGTTGCTCATTAAATAATCTAAGAACTTCAATAAGTGAATCTAATGTCATATGCAACTTTTAAATTATGCATGAATATATTTTAAAAATGAGCATGATATAAGTACCAATTGAGCAACGTAACTTACAAAATGAGTATTGCTATGAAAAATCATATTCTTTTAGTTGAACTTCAAGACATTTTTATTGAGCATCAAACATTCTCTATTGAGTATTGAAAACACGCAATTGAGTATCATGATCTATGCTCTCATATTTATAATCAACTCCTACATGAATCTAATCTAATTAATATGATACTTTTAAAATATACTGTGACATTTTAAGTTGAGCATAACACCAGTATAAAATGAGCATACCTTACTTACCAAATGAGCAATGATATGAACATCGTAAGCACTATACTGATAATTGACTTCTTTTAGTGCACATTCGCTTTATATATTATACTCATTTAAATATACAATAAAACTCATTTTATTGATATGCATTGTTAAGAGTTAAGACATTTTGAAAATGAGCCTAAATGAGAATCAATTGAGCATACGTAACTTAAAAAATGAACATTGATATGAAAATCACAGTGTTTTTCAGTTGAGCATCAAGATATTCTCATTGCGCATTAAACATCTTCTATTGAGTATATAAATATGCAATTGAGTATCATGATATGTGCTTTATTATCTATAATCAAATTCTGCGTAAATTTTATATAATATGATACTTTTGAAGTATACATTGATATAAAATTTTAAAATGAGCATAACACTAGTACCAACTGCGCATACATAACTTATCAAATGAGCAATGATATGAAAATCATAAACTTTGTTAGTTCAGCATCAATACATTTTTATTGAACATCAAACATATTCTATTGAGTATTAGAAGCATGAAATTGAGTATTATGATCTATGCTTCCATTCGAATCTAATATAATACTTTTGAAATATACATTGATATGACAGTTTAAAATGAACATAAAACTAGTATCAGCTGAACATACATCACTTACAAATTGAGCATCGAAAAATTCAAAATCTTGTTTGAATTCTCTAATATGTTTAAATGTTCATTTGTACACATATATTACAATGACAAATATAGTAATTATGAATATAGTTATTTTGTATTAAAAATAATTTATAGTCTTTCTTTATGGAACTACAAATATAACAGGGTTCATTTTATAATGTTTACTCATACTATTTATTTTACACTATACTCATTTTAGCATAACACAAAACTTATGTTAATTACTCCCTCCGTCCCATTTTACCTGTCTTATTTTCCTTTTTGGGTTGTCCCAAAATAAGTGTCATCTTTCCCTTTTTAGAAAGAAATGTGTGGTTCACAACATTTCACTTTACTATACTCAAATTTCAACCACAACTTTTATTTTTTCAACCACTTTATTAAAAATTGTGCCTAAATCAAAGGAGACACATAAAATGGGACATAGTTAGTAGTAATTAGCACATAATATTTAATAAACTAATAAATATTCATCTTAAACTAAAAATAAAAAACAAGACACTAATACCTTAAATATACATCATAAATTAAAATCAATGGAAAATGTGTTAAAACAAAAAGGGAAAAAGAAACTAAAAAGAAAGAGTTACGTGAAAGCAAAAACAAAGAAGTCAAATGGAAGATGCTCCGTAGCATATACACGCGCGTTGTGGACTACAGCTGGCAGCGAAAAAAATTTAAAAAGCATATGTGTTATGTGTATGAACGGGCGGACTACAGCCTCCAAATCAGAAATAATTACAAAAATACCCGAATGTACAAGTGAGCACTGTACATGCGGGTGTACGGTATAATTTGCGCAAGTTTTCAATGTAGTAAAATTTATAGAAGTAATACCAGGGATGGATTTAGGGGGACACTGCCCCCCTTGGACTTTCAATATTTTCTACGGAGTATAACATATATAATATTTTCATAAAACTTTCATACTTTAATTAAATACATATGTATTTGCCCCCTTAACATTGAGTTTTCAAAATTAATGTTATATTTGAAGTCCTTAGTAATGTTATACGTAGTCCTTAGTAGAAGATTTAAAAGAAAAACATCAAAAATTATTTATATAATATAAAAAATTAAATAATAAAACCACTCATTGTTTAAGACTTAGGATACACTATTATATAAAAAATCATAATTTTGTAATGTTTATTTATTTTAATTAGATAATTAGTATTCGATTCTGTAAAATATCAAACCACATTAAATATGAGACATACTAGTTAAACATTTTTCAGATCATTTGAAATGAATTCAAAATATAAATGTTTTTGACATTAAATTACACAATTCATTTAGTTCTTACTTTCTAAAAACAATTTATTGCATAGATAATAACCTTTAAGTTATTTTAGCATTAAAAATTTAAAATTTACAATATATATGAATTAGCACTAAAAATAATAAACTCATACATACTATTGTAATATTGATAATACTCCTCATGACTCATGAACATCACCCTTGGTAGACAAAAAATGCAATTCAAAAACCAATTCTTTATTCCGATAAGATTCATATATATGGTTAAACAAGGATAAAGTATTTAAAAAGTATTGGTGGATGTTTACCTTCTGAATGTGTATTTTCTAAACTTTTTATCTTCAAATAATTTGATAAAATGTTATACATAGTATATCATTTTCTATTTTAAAAACTTTTTTTCTTTGATTTGCCATTTCTTACGCTTTAATGTATTATGTATCAACATTTTTTTCTAGAGCACTTTAATTATAAAATCAAAATTATTTTTACATTGTCTA